CTCCTCCTCCTCCTCCTCCTCCGCCGCCTCCTCCTCCTCCTGCGGGTTTCTCGGTCCAGCGGGGCCCAGATGGGCCTCGGGCGGGGTTCAGGAACCGGCGCTGAGCGGGCAGTTTGGGCCGGGCGGGGGCGCCGCCGCTTTCTCAGCCAGCCCTTCTCCGAGGCGCGCGCTCGAGGGAGGCCGAGCCAATCCCACCAGGAGCTCTGCAGGCGTTGCGCTACACCGTGAGCCACGAGCCATACTGGCCTCAGGTCGGGCATGTCCTCCGACAGGGGAATTGTGGACGAAAGATATGTCATATAAATTTATATATATATATATATATATATATATATATACATACATACATACATACATACATACATACATACATACATACATATATATATAATATATAACTATATATATATACATATATATATATATTCCAAACTGCAAAAAATGATTGGAAAATCGTCCACATATACCTACACGACCACCTTGCGGGTGATAAGGAGGTCGGGGGGGGAGGGGCCCAGCAATGGGCAACACTGGTGAATGTTGTTGTGACAATGCCAGTGGACATAGTTGCGTTGCCGCTCGCTCTTGGGAGCGTTGGTGTCGAGTTGTTTACGTCACCCTTCGCTCTTTGGCGCCTTGGTACCACTCGGCCTCCCCCCTGGGAACCTGCCCAACTTGCGCAACGGCAGCTAACGGCGCCATTTGGCCACAGAAGAAGCGCTGGCAAAGCTTGGCGCAGCCCGCGCCCCCTCTTGCACTATCGATCTCACTATCGATCTCCTCATCGGTCTCACTCATCGATCTCACTCGATCAATCTCACCATCGATCTCACAATCGATCTCATCATCGATCTCTCTCGGCCGGTCTCACTATCCCACACACGATCCCACCATGCCGCTCGACACACACGCCGCTCGACACATGCCGCTCTCTCTCCGTGTCTACGCCCATGCCAGTCGACACGAAGACTCTCTGCGCAAAATCGCCCGCTCACTGTCAACGGCGAGCTGAACTGAAGAACTGATGGTGAGGATTCGGCAGCCCGGCCGGCCCGCTCACTGACAACGACGACCAAGGGATCTTCATTCGGTATCACCATCATCGTCGTCATCATCATCGACATCACCATCAACATCATCATCATCATCATCATCATCATCATCATCATCATCATCATCATCATCATCATCATCATCACCATCATCAGCATCATCATCATCGTATTCATCATGATCATCAGCATCACCATCATCATCATCATCATCATCATCATCATCATCATCATCAATGTCGTCATCATAATCACAAACATCAACACCATGAAGGCCATCATCACCATCAGCATCGCACAATCGATCTCACATTCGGTCTCACTACCGATATCACAATCGATCTCGCAATCGACGTCATCATCATCATCATCATCATCATCATCATCATCATCATCATCATCACATCAACATCATCATCATCGCCATCATCAACATCATCATCATTATCACCATCATCATCATCATCACCACCATCATCATCAGAATCATCATCATAATCATCATGAACATCATCATCGGGACACCGACGGGACACGGACGGGACACCGGCGGGACACCGGCGGGACACCGCGGGGCCCCGGCCGCCCGGAAGGGAATCATTTCGTCCGGCCGCGCCTCAGCCACACGGGACACCAGCGGGACACCGGCGGGACACCGCGGGGCCCCGGCCGCCCGGAAGGGAATCATTTGGTCCGGCCGCGCCTCAGCCACACGGGACACCAGCGGGACACCAGCGGGACACCGCGGGGCCCCGGCCGCCCGGGAAGGGAATCATTTGGTCCGGCCGCGCCTCAGCCACAGGAGACTTTCTCTCGCCCGCCCACGCAGCTTCGCCTCGCCCGCACGGCACGCACGAACACGAAACCGAAATCGATTTCCCGGTAGGGGGGCTCTCCGTTCCACTTCGATCTCACCCCCCAACCTCCGATTTCTTAAACTATTTGGGAATATTCCTCCTGTAGAGGGACAGGCCCGACTTAATACTAGCCGCGAGCAGCGCCGAACGGAGGAACGACGAGCAGGGACTGTCGGACCACGGCTGGCCTCGGCCGCGGCCGGGTCCCCCGACCCTGGATCTGAGGAGCGGCCCGGGCACGAGAGAGCCCCTTCCGAGCCCGAAGTGCGGCGAGCAGCCGCGTGAGCCTGCCCAGCACACGCCATCTCTCCCCCTCCTCCTAGTTTCTTCTATTGCGGTTTCGTTATGTCATGCCTGTCTGAACGCAACTCTTTCTCTCTGTGTTGTATCCACATTGACGCGCAGCGTTTTCCAGTGCACCCGGTTGCCGGGACTGCGCGTCCCATACGCCTGCCCTCTGAGAGGACCGCCCCGCAAGGGGCTGGAGCGCAGGTCGCATCATCATCATCATCGCATCATCAGCACCTCGCTCCAGACCCGTCGCAGATCGATCGGGCACGCGGAATCCAACTTGAAGACTGGGTCGACATCTCTGTAGTACACCAGTGCGTCACGAGCCTGTCACGACAGCTCGGCCAACCCCGGGGTCGTGCCACGATATGTTGCGGCAGCCGACCCACGAAAACGAGTCGGCCCTTCCCCCCTGTAACCGAAGACTAAAAACACGGCAGAGCACACAAAGTTTTGGTCGGGCATGTCCTCCTACCAGCGGATTTTGGACGAATCATGAAAAATCGCGATGAACAAATATTCAAAAACTAATCCAGAAAAAATTGCGAAATCGTCCCCAGACGACTCCTTTACTATTTTTGAACATTCCTCCTGTGAAGGGACATGCCCGGCTTGACACAAACTTCTGGAAATCTGCGCAGGCATTCCGGGCGGGCGCCCGACCCCCGGGCCCTCCCCACGCCTTCCCTCGGCGCGCCCGTCGCGCAGAACGCACGGGCGCCGGCGCCGCCGGGGGTGTGCCAAGGGGGGGGGTCCGGCGCCAACCCCAGAAGCCCCCAGAGATCCAACGCATTGAAGAAATCAAGACGGAGGTTTTTCGCAATTTTCGGCCTCGAGGGGCCCTCGCCGGGCCCCGGGACCGTCAAAAAACGACTCAGAATGAAAAACCGGTCCTGGGGAATGGGTCGTGACTTCTGGGGACCCCGTATTGAAAATATCACGACATCTGATCTCTACGCTGGGCCCGCGCGGACCTCCGCAACCTTGTGCTTGCCGCCTCTGTCGCCCTCGACGGACGACCCGCCCAGGGGATGCGTGTGTATGGGGTCTGTGCCTGTCGTCCCCCGATGTATGTACACGAGACCCCGCCGCTGGGGAAGATGTAACCCCGAAGGGGGGGGGCACGGGGGGTGACCGCGCCCTGACCGCTGTGGGCCATGGCCTGCACCGCTCGCCGGGGACTGCCCCAAGGCCTGCTGCTCATTTAGCCGGGGCTGCTGCACCCTGAGATCCGACGTGGCACATCAGAACGTAGCATCGGAAAAAAACTCGACCGAAGCCCTGGAGCCCATCTTTCTGTGGCACTTCGAGCGGGATCGACCCGACAGAAAACTCCCTGGGGCCAAAACAAAACAAAATAGCCCGTCGTCGCAAAAAATTGCAACGCCCAGATGTCAGGGACCCTGCAGAGCAATGCTGCTCACCACAGGCCGCACCGCTCACCATCGCGGGGGGCTGCTGCAGAGCGCCGCAAGCCGTCACGCGAGGCAGCGCACCACCACGACCCGACGCGCACTTCCACGGCTGCTGGGAGCGGCCAATGAGCAGCGCCAGGCCTGCCGATGCAATGCACTGTCCTCCTCCTCCTCCTCCTCCTCCTCCTCCTCCTCCTCCTCCTCCTCCTCCTCCTCCTACCTTTCCTCCCTCTCCTCCTCCTCACCTCCTCCACCTCTCCTCCTCCTCTCCTCCTCCTTCTCCACCTCCTCCTCCTCCTCCTCCTCATCTCCTCCTCCTCCTCCTCCTCCACCTCCTCCTCCTCCTCCTCCTCCTCCTCCTCCTCCCCTCCTCCTCCTCCTCTCCTCCTCCTCCTCCTCCTCCTCCTCCTGCCTCTCCTCCTCCTATGCCCTCCTCCCTCCTCCTCCTCTCCTCACTCCTCCCTCTCTCCTCCTCCTCCTCCTCCCTCCTCCTCCTCCTCCTCCTCCTCCTCCTCCTCCTCCTCCTCCTCCTCCTCCTCCTCTGGTCCTTTTTCTTTCCCTTACAAATAACTTGACCCTGTCTCACCCCGATTCCAATTTTAGGGCGGGCCCGGGGTTTCGCCTGAGACTTCCTTACAAATGACGACCCTGAAGCTGAAAAATGACAACAGCTTCACAGATGGAGGGCGGGTGGTTTTCAAAACAATGTGACTCTCGCCTTACCGCCGCGCACATTCGTTTTTGAACTTGCAACCGTTTCACGGATTGAAGGCGGATGGTTTTGCAAATGTGGCTCTCGCCTTAGCGCCGCGCACATTCGTTTTCACATTTGCGAGATGTTCAAGACTGAGGGCGATTCCTCTTCAAAATGTGGCTCTTGCCTGAGCACCGCGCACATTCATTTTTCGATTTGCAAAATTCCACGGGTTCCCATGATCAAGGTACCAGGAATAGTGTTGTGGAAGGATGCAGGATTATGAGAGCGCAACAAGTACCTTGATTCGCGGTGTTGAAGTCCCCAGAATGGCAATCTGGCACTTGGCACGATTCAGGATCGTCAAGACGCAGCAGTCAGGTTCTTCCGTAGCGTTGGAATCCCGAGAGCAATGTTTTGGCATGCTTCAGGGTCTTCAAATGATTGTCTTCCAACGAGGCAGTTCCCTCAGTGAAAATGACCCGTTGTAGGGGCCTGCGAAGAAGGAGCTTGGACGGAGCGTTTATTCCAACATCGTTGATGACTTTTGGGTTTACACTGGTCCTCCGCCTTCTCCGCCTCCTCCTCCTCCTCCTCCCCGCATGCTGTGGGCTGCCACGGAGCAATCACCCTCTGCTCCGACATCGCTATGTGCTCTTCGCGGCATGGTCCGCCCCAGACTCTCGACCCATTCCCTGGGGCCGACGTTTCATCCAGGAGTCCCCGGACGCGTGTTGACGGTCTGGAGCCCGAGCCAGGCCTGCAGAAGCGCCAAAAGATAGCAAACAAACATACAATAACAAACGAACAAAAAACAAGCAAAGAAACAAGCAAAGAAACAAACAAACAAACAAACGAACCATAATAACTAAAAGCATAGGGAAAATGAAAACAACAAACTAACGAGCGAACAAACAGACAACCAAACAAACGGGTAGACAAACAAACATACAAGCAAACACAAACAACCAAGCAAACAAGAAAGAAGCATGTCACCAAAGTAACACAGAAAGCATTGTGTTGTTACATCTGGCTTCAATAATACTAACATGATATTGCTTAAGAACTATATGTTTATATACATCGAAAAGAAAAGAAACTGGAAATATGGAAAACAAAATCAAAAACAAAAACGAAAAAGCTTCGATTCTTACCTGGCCCCGCAAACCGAAGGCAAGCTGGCGAGCCGAGGCCGCCGACCCCCCCCCTTGAGTTGAGCATACGCAGAACGTCATCTGGGCATCTGGGCACCAACACCATGCCTGGCAATGGCCACCCTGGGCCCTGGCACTGTGTATGCACCCTCGCTGGCCATCCCCCTCCTCCTCCTCCTCCTCCTCCTCCTCCTCCTCCTCTTCCTCCTCCTCCTCCTCCTCCTCCTCCTCCTCCTCCTCCTCCTTCTCCTCCTCCTCCTCCTCCTCTGGCCTCGACCAGGAGGGCCTGTGCACCATCCTGGAGCCCAGGACGGCCCCCCTGGCCAGGCGCTGCAGTGCTTCGCGGATGCCTTCTGCAGGTCCTCTCCCCGCGAGCCTCCGGGCCATCGCGCGAGCTTCCTGCGGCCGCTTGGGACGATTCCAGGCTCTCCGGAGAGCCCTCGACGACGAGCCAGAGCTGACGGAAACCATCCCCAGGGCCCGACAGCCTCCGGGAGCCCAGACGAGGCCTCGAGAATACCTCCAGGGAAGGCCGCCCTGGCCACGGACCGTCGCCTGGGGACCGCCGCCCTCGCCCGCACGGAGGGGAGAGCGCAGGCCCGAGGCCCCCGAAGCCATGATTTTCTCATGACGCGGACCCCCAGGGGGGTGGGCGGAGGGGGGAAAGGCTCCTTACAAGGAGCCGGCTTCTTAGAACGTGCTGGCCCTAGATCTACAGACGAGGCCCGCGCCCGCTAAGAAGCAGGGGCTCTTCCCAGAAGCCCTGGAGAACTGGTACTGTGTCCTCCAGACCACATGGCACAGCACTGCCGTAGGACCGTCGTGCTACCACAGGGAGCGCTGACGAAGGAGCGAAGGGGCTCGTCTGGCCACGGCGAACCCTGGTCACGAATAGGTTTCCCGACGCATGTCCAGAGAACGGCCCGCAAACCGGAGCCCCTCCCGACCCCAAAGGGGTCCTTCTTTCAGCGTCTTGACTGTACATCGTTACCCCAGCGGTATGGCCAGAAAGCGCCCGCCTTCCGAGCATTTTCTAGGAGAGTTCTGAGCGCAGGCGTCGCGCCGATCCAACCCAAGCCGCGACGCGCGAAGCGCGACGATCTTCGCATCCCCCAGACCCCCATCGGGTCATGAGCAAACACGACGGGAGATGTTTTGTATTATTTTCGGCCTCCAGGGGCCCTCACCGTACCCTGGAATGAAAAACTGGTCCCACGGAATGCGTCGAGACCTCTGAGGGTCCACGTCGTTAATCAATCATGACGTCGCGGGGCAGGGACCCAAGCCGCGTTGCGCGAAGCGCGACGATCTTCGCGTCCCTGGAAGCGGCCTCAGTGGCCACACTCCCGACGTCGTGATATTTGTCACAGCGTGGATCCCTGGCGGCCCCGACCCATTCCCCAGGACCGGCTTTTCACCAAAGGCCGCTGTTCGACAGTCCTGGGGCCTGGCGAGGGCCCCAAACGGCCGAAAACATCAACAACAACAACAACAACAACATCATCATCATCATCATCAACAACAACAGCAACAACAACAACAACAACAACAGCAACAACAACAACAACAACAACAACAACAACACCAACAACAACAAGAACAACAATCAGTTTAAGACTGTTCGCTCTTATCTGCTCGAGTGTCCGTTAAAGCGTATTTTCCAAACCCTCGATACCCGCCGTCTTCGTTTTCGATCGTACCCCTGTGGGGGGTATACCTTTCTTCCCTGCAGGCTGGGCCCCGGCAAGCGACGGGGCGGCCGCGGACCGTCGGCCTGGCCAGCAGCAGCGCTGATCGGCGGCAACCCGACCCCGAGGGGGACGGAAAGGGGACCGACCACGACGACGACGACGACGACGCAACGACGACGACGACGACGACGACGGCGACGACGACGACAACGACGACGACGACGACGACGATGACGTCGAAGACGACAACGTCGACGACGACGACGACGACGACGACGACGACGACGGCGACGACGACGACGACGACGAGCGAAAGCAAGAGCGAGAGAGAGAACGACAAAAGGGCCACAAAGGGTACGAAGCAGGCCACGAAGGGCGACAACGGGGACATGAAGGGAATGCATATGGGACCACGAAGACCGCGAACGAGCAGGGGCCACGAAGGGCAAATAATGCGGGGCCAAAGAAGGCAACGACGGGGCCACTGAGGGTAGCAACTGGGCCACGTAGGACAGCGAGGGGGCCACAAAGGGCGACAGCGGGGCCACGAAGGGCATGCACACGGGGCCACGACGGGCGCGAACGAGCGGGGTCACGAAGGGCATACGTATATTGGGCCGCGGAAGGCAAGGTTGGGGCCACTGACGGCAGCAACGGGGCTACGAATGGCAGCGACGGGGCCACGACGGGCGACAACGAGGCCACGAAGGGCATGCATATGGGGCCACGACGGGCGCTAACGAACGGGGGCCACGAAGGGCAGATATATATATATATATATATATATATATATATATATATATATATATACATACATACCTATACGACCACCCTGCGGGTGATAAGGAGGTTCGGGGGGGAACCAACGTCTCACTCGATCGGTCTCACTATCGATCTCAGTATCGATCTCACTATCGGTCTCGCTCGATCGATATCAGTCGATCGATCTCACAATCGATCTCACTCGATCTATCTCAATCGATCGATCTCACAATTGATGTCACAATCGATCTCACAATCGAAAACACAATCGATCTCACATTCGGTCCCAATATCGATCTCACTATCGATATCACAATCGCTCCCACAATCAACGACATCATCATCAACAACAACATGATCAACATCAACATCATCACCAACATCGTCATCATCATGATGGCACCGTCATCCTCATCATAACCATCAGCATCATCAACGTCAGCATCATCACCGGAACATCATCATCATCATCGCAATCAGCATCTCACCATCAGCATCATCATCATCATCGGGACACAATCATCGTCATCATCATCATCATCAGCAACATCATCATAATCATCATCATAATCTGGACACCATCATGATCACCATCGCTCTCATCATCAACATGATCGTCAACATCGTCATCATGCTCGGGACACCATCATCATCATGATCATCGCATCATCATCATCATCGACATCATCATCATCATCAGCAACATCATCATCATTGGGGCACCATCATCATCATGAGCAACATCATCATCAACATCGTCATCATCATCATTCTCATCATCGGGACACCATCAGCATCACCATCATCATCATCACCACCATCATCATCAGCATCATCATC